AAAGTACGCAAAACAGTCTTATTTGCACAATTGTCGCGATATCTCTCGAGAGGATCGTGTAGCATTAATTATTTATCATAGAATCGTAATGTCCATAATTAAGTTGAAGGGGGAGGGTAATCGTTATAATATGCTTTTGAAATATGATATGTGAAACAAAAATTATAATAAATTATAATAGATTATAAAACGAAATTAAATAATATTATACAAAGAAATGTGTAAAGTGATGTCTTATATCAATAATGATAAATTTTTTATCTTTAATTTATTATTCGTTTATTTTTACAATTATTTATCATAGTAAAAAATGCTGAAAATATGTATAACTTACACCGAATAATTATCATATGATCAAATTTCTTCATTTTTTTGTTGATATGAGCGATTTATATATAATTATAGTACTATTATAACATAGTTGATATAAAAAAATTGTAAAAAAATAATAAAAAATCCGTGATAAAAAATTCTTTGCAGCTTCCAACTCTTATTATAATCAGATGCGTCAAAAATAGATCGCTAATTTTATATCTCCAAAAAAAAAAACACGAGACATGTATATGACATTTGCAACAATCATGAGTGCAATCTAAAAATATAAATGTAACAACAGCAATTAAGGGGGGATTCTAAAGTGAACTCCGAGATTGCTGTTTTATTAATAAAATGCGACACGTCGACATATCTTTATACAATATATTATTACATCAATATCTTACGTATACATAAATTTTTTTTAGAATAATAGTCTTGACTAGACGTCTACATTCTAAGAACTTCACATTGTTTATTTGTGTAAATTACTGATCTGTGGACCACAATTTTGTACAAGATTTAGAATTCCATTAAAGCAACGTTGTGTTTACAATAATTTATTAATACGTTAATCGCTAATTAATGATCATCTAACGCCTAACTTTAGCGATACCCTGTGATGATTACTGGTAACCGACGCTATTAAAAGTTTTTTTAAAAACACTTGTAAAAAGAAATACTATTTAAAGGGATTTAAAATCGTTTTACTGACTAAACGTAATAATTTTTGTATAAAAATTATTTTTTCCTCTTTCATAGATTCGAAAATCCTTTTCCAGGATTAAAATATACGCATTAATTCATATTATACGTATTTATAAGATGGAGTTTATGCACAGAACGAAAAAAATTGTTTAAATTAAGATCTACTTATTTCTTAATCCATTATATATATATATATATATA